AATGGTGATCTGGATGAAGAAATCTATATGGAACAACCATTAGGTTTCATTGAAAAAGGAAAAGAAAATAAAGTTTGTAAACTCAAAAGGTCCATTTATGGATTGAAGCAGTCATCCAGACAGTGGTATTTGAGGTTTCACAAAGCGATAACCTCATATGACTTCCAAATGATAGAGGAAGACCACTGCGTCTACATTAAGCGGTTTGAGGGTAATTTTATCATATTATCCTTATATGTAGACGATATTCTATTAGCTGGAAATAGTCTAGATTCGGTGGTGGCTATTAAAGAATGGCTTTCGTCGAATTTTGAAATGAAAGACATGGGTGAAGCAGAGTATATACTTGGAGTTAAGATCCAAAGAAATCGCTCAAAACGAATCCTCTCTCTTTCACAAGAGAATTATATCAACAAGATTCTTGAACGATTTAACATGAAAGACTGCAATCCCATGAGTACACCCGTTGCCACTGGAGTGGCTTTGAGTTCTGACATGTGTCCCAAAACCGAGTCTGACAAAAAGAAAATGGAAAGAGTTCCATATGCCAGTGCTGTTGGCAGTCTGATGTATGCAATGATGTGTATAAGACCAAACATCTGTTATGTAGTAGGACTGGTGAGCAGATTCCAGTCTAACCCCGGTGAAAAGCATTGGAAAGCAGTGAAGAGGATCTTGAGATACTTAAAGGGAACTTCTAATTATGCACTGTGCTACGAAGGAGGTGACCTACGTCTTGTTGGGTACTCCGATGCTGATGTAGGCGGAGATGAAGAAGAACGAAGGTCAACTTCAGGTTATACCTTCTTGCTCAACAATGGCGCCATATGTTGGAGTAGCAAGAAGCAAATGTGCATTGCCTTACATTCAATGGAAGCTGAGTTTGTGGCATGCACTGCAGCAGTGCAAGAGGCTTTATGGCTGAAGAGATTTATAGAACACCTTGGATTTGGAAACGAGAGTACCAATCCGGTGATGGTATACTGTGACAATACTACAGCCATAGCCTATACTAAAGATCCTAAGTATCACAGCAAAACCAAGCATATTGACATCAAGTATAATTTTGTTAGAGATTACATAGCACAAAAGATTGTTACTGTACAATATATTTCAACCAAATGTATGGTAGCAGATCCTTTGACAAAGCCAATAGGTGAAAGAGTTTTTAAAGAACATGTACAAGCCCTTGGCATACATAAAGTGTAATATGAATGCTTCATTAATGAAATTATATTTCGTTATCACTTTATGTGTCTGTCCGAAAGTATACAATGTCTAGTATGTCGTACAGGTTAAAAAGGTTGGCTTTCTCACACAGGCAACCGCCTTTGACACTCAGGTGGAGTGAACAAAGATGAGACATTTGTGTTCACCAGTAAAGCAGCAATGAATGCTGATATGGTAGAGAAGAAACACAAACTTTATGTCGCTTTGATTAAAGTGTAGCAAGTCAAGATGAGATCCACGTTGATAAAGCTGGATCGAAGTTTGGAATCCCACTTCCATAATACCTGTAGCCAGACAACAAACTCTTCAACGTTGACGTCATAACAATGAGCAGAGTTGAAGAATTCGGGTTTAGATACTGAGTGTATCTGGACCTAAGTCTGTACGGTGTTAATAATAAATCTAAATCGACATACGCTCTTATAGTAAAAGAGTAACACCGTAGCATGTGTTTCATACCACATGTGCTGAGAGAACCACAAAAGGGAAGCAAGAGAAAGATCCCTGCTTCATTGCTGTGTGAGTCCCAGGGAGGAATTATCCTCCTATTGGTGTCCTTTGACTTTGACAATATCATGAAGATATGTTTCAGTGACTACTACTTTGGCATATGTCCTATAGTCATGATTGATGCGATCTAAGGTAGTATGCCAAGAAAGTGACTGATTCATTTCAAAGTGATATTTGGGCGAAAGGAAGATTGACTGTGATATACACACCTATGCTTGTGTCTATGACATGTCCCTTATGACATTTTGTGGTCGTAAGTGTGGATACTAGACATAAGAGAAAGGTAATCTGAGTCAACTATTGACTCGAGAGGGATTAGATTTACCATGAAAAAGTGTATATAAGTAAATCTAGGACATCTGAGGCATAATTTTAAAATTCACGCTACACGAAAGGAGAAGGTAACTTATGCTGGTCCTACAAAAGGATTTCTAGTACAGGCACCTAAATGAAGACGTCATGCCCACGCGGTCACGGCAAAGCACTAAGTATGAAACTGAAGGGAGACGGAGAGATGAGACCCATGACACCTAATCCACCAAGTGTGAGTGGGAGATGTAGGAAAATGGGCCTGTCCACCCTTGGTGGATTGGGCCCAAGCCCATTAACTTTGGGGGCTCTAATGCAAATAACATAACCTATGGGGTCTCAAATGGTGATTTGCAATATTTCTTAAAACTATGGATAACGACAAACGGGTGCGAAAGTTTTTCTTTAAGATAAAAGAATCAGTTTTGTGAAACTCATTTTTTAACTGGCTCGTCTTTCCTTCCCACGGGTGCTCTCTCTTCTGACTCCCAAGAAAAAAACCATAGTGCATTTGCTGTGAGCATCAATACCGATTCCATTACAGTCATCGGCATTCCGTGCGTGGCTATCTGAAATTGCTCGACACTTCAGGTATGCCCGAACTTCATGACTTACACATAATAATTGGAAGCCAGTTCCAAAGAATTTGCAGGGAAAGAGAAAAACAGGCACATTCTTTGGAAGAAAGAAGAAAATAGTGCTGCCAACATAGAAGAAATTTATGTCACTGTGCCACGTGCCATAGCACACTCTACAAATGTAGCTAATAGCCATGTCATAGACATGCATATATTGTTAAATCCAAAACAACCTTCATTTTCTTTTTGAAATGGCAATTCTTCACAAGGTCCAGCTGATTTCTGTGTGTGTAGTTTTTCTCTCTAGTTTTTTGGGTATTACATGGCAATAGTAATAGCTAGTTAGTTGTAACAGAAGAGTTATCACTCTATTAGTCTGTTAAACCAGAGCAAGCATGAGAGAATCAATATAAGTATTCCACATGTACTCGTTCTAAGGTGGGGAATAAGAAATTACTACATTCTATCTCTACTTTTTTCTCTTCGATACCATTGATGCAGGTAGAACAAGGAAAGTAATAGAGAAACTATATTTGAATTCCAAGACACCTCATGCATGCACTATTATCCTCTACGGATACTAATAACCTTCTCTAACTAACTAACAATTCTCTTAACTAACTCTAATTTTAATAATTACCATGTAACAAGGGGTGTAATATAAGATTAAAGTTTAAAGTTTAAACAAACAACAAAAGACCATCAAGACTAGTAAACAATACAGCACATAAAAATAACAACTACAAAGAAAAGTCTCCCACATATTAACTTCATTGAGAAACTTCAATCTAGCAATATAAGTCATGTCACATCCATAAAGATGGAAATCTTACTGCTCTTGCTTATAGAGTTCCCTATACTCTTTCTCAAGCTGTTCCATCTCATCATTATTCCATTTATCTTCCTCTACTGTATCATCTTCTTCATCATAGGTTCCCTCCTCGTCATCTTCATCCTCCACCTCATCATCATCATAATCCTCTGCATCAGACTCCACCTACATCAAAATATAATCCTCAATCACCCAAAAAGAAATCATAAATATTACATTGGAAGATGATGAAACTCCCAGCAAATACTTGCCTGTTCATTCTCAATATCACTGTAGTCATCCCAATCAATGTCATTGTTTTGCGATTCTCTAGATCTCTTGCCAGATAAACCCATCTTAAACCTAAATGGAAAAAATCTGACATCAACCAAACACATACATTAAAGAAAAAACTAGTAATTCAACCATGTACTCGTTATAGAGACACTCACAAGTCCCAAAATTACACCAAGTACTAAATAATGCCCTTTCCAAAATTGTTATAGCTTTTTCACAAGTCCACAAAAAGGACAAAGCAATAACTAAAACTATTAAAGCCTTTCATGCTGGGTTCCTATCCTAACAACAAGTTTGCAATGGTATTTTACTTCAATACAGTCGTTCCAATTACAGCAAAATTGTAAGAACAATTTTTTTCCATAAACATAATCAATATATAGTTTCCCTATACTTGCTTCCGGGCTTATTCTCAAGTAGTAGCGGTTAACTCCATAAAAGAGCTTACATATGAATATTATACCTACTAGTATGGATACAAACCTATTTGAAAGACCGAAAGAAAGCTGGGGAGTTAGCTTAAGAAGTGAGGCTATGGGTGACTGCCCCATGACAAAGAAGCAATTTCCCGGCCAGTAGTAGAGAGAGAGAGGCATCGTGCGTGACTGTGTGAGTGAGTGAGTATGAAGTCCTTAGGCAGAGGGGAAGCGAGGATGAGAGATCAATAAGTGACTGGTAGAGGACGAGAGTTGAGAGCGAGAGGCATTGTCGCCACCTAAGGGCCTGTTTGATTTGAGGGGAGGGTAGGGAAGGGAGGGGAGGGTGGGGGATGGAAGGGGAGGGTGGGTTTTATCCTCACCTTATTTGGTTTGATTAAAAAGAAAGGGAGAAGAGGATATTTAATGATCCCTTGTTTGGTTCAAGGAGGGGAAGGGAGGGATAGTAATAATCAATTTACCATTTTACCCTTACATATTAGTTTATATTTTTTATTGATATATTATATAAATTAATTTACATCTTAATTTAAATTATATAATTTAATGAAAATTCAGTCTTATCATGTTAATATGTGCATTAAAAAATTGGTACAGTAATTTTTTATCCTAATTAATATAATAATATATTTAAAATAATCAAATTAACAAATTTTATATGCTCTAAGAAAAATGAAATTTTATTCTCTTTAGGCTATCCTTTTTTTCAGCTTTAAAATATATTTAATAAATAATATATTTATTAAAAAACAATTAATTTTATAATATTATAATTTTTTATTTAAATAATTTTTTATAATATATTTTTTAATTATAATAATTCTGAAGATACTATAACATTAGGTTAGCAATGCCTGAGATATCGTATTATATAGACACATGTATTGTGCACTTGCTAACTATTTTTGTCTTATCTTTTTATCATCACGTGAATTAAGAAACAAACCATACCCCCTGCTGGGAAGGTAAAGCCAAAGAGCAAGTATTAGTTTGAGGTTGAAGCAAGAAATTACAGTCACATGGATGCAACCATTGCTTTAATGCTCATAGAAGCTGTATTGATTTTGCTGGCTATACTAATTTATAAAGCTGTCAGATTAATCTCTCCACTTCATACTATCCGTCCTATTTCTATTCATGAGAGGTAACATCTTCTATAGCAATTCCTCTTTGTTCCGTTTGCTGATAGCCCAATATTAATTTATGATTTCTTTCCATCTGTAGTTCTAAAGATGATGTTGATTCGATTCCCATGGTTTGCTCTCCTTCTAATATCATTGTTGCTCCTCCTACAACCAATTATGACGTCTTTCTTAGCTTTAGAGGGAAAGACACTCATGACAGTTTCTCAAGTTATCTCTATGAAGCACTTTGCGATGCAAACCTTCAAACTTTTATGGGTCACAAGCTCCACAAAGGAGACCATATCTCACCCGTTCTTTTGAAAACAATAGAGGAATCAGAGATATCTTTGATTATTTTCTCCAAAGATTATGCATCTTCAACATGTTGTATGGACGAGCTTGTTCATATTATGAGCTGTAGGGATAAATACCAAAGAGTTGTCATCCCTATTTTCTATGACATAGATCCATCAAATGTTCGCAAACAAAATGGAAGTTTTGGAGATGGATTTGCTAAGATTAAGCAGAGATTTAGCCACAACCAAGAAAAAGTGCAAAATTGGACAAATGCTTTGATCCAATCAACAAATCTCTCTGGGTGGGATTCAAAGAATATCAGGTAGTTTCTACTCATTCTGCACTTATACCTTCTTTCTTTGGGCATTAAAGATGATTGTTCTTTTAATTTATGTATGTGCTAGGCCTGAATCCAAACTTATTAAGAAGATTGTCAAAGATATTTTGAGCAAATTGAATGGCAAGTCGTCCTTTCATTTTGAAGGATTAGTTGGGATTGATCATCATATTCAGAAGATTGAAGAGCTATTGGGTAAAGCTCGCATTGTGGGAATATGGGGTATGGGTGGTATAGGTAAGAGTACTCTTGCTAGAGTTGTATTCCACGAGTTGAAAGCACAGTTTGAAGCTTTCTCCTTTGTGGAAGATGTAAGGGAACAACTAGCAATAATTGGGTTTGACAGGTTACAAAAAGAATGTCTCAAAGAATTAATAAAAGATAAGGACATTAATGTCTTTGATATAGAATCCTCTTTTGTGAGAAGTAGGCTTCAACGCAGAAAAGTTCTTCTGATACTTGATGATGTGGACAATTCACTACCGGTTGAAGATTTAACTGAAATGTATCGTTGGTTTGGAGAAGGAAGTTGAATTATTATCACATCAAGGGACATGCAAGTACTTCATAATGCTTTTGCATTTTCAACATACTCTATTTCAAGATTAAATTTACATGATGCCTTTCATCTCTTTAGTTTGAAAGCATTCAAGCAAAATGAGCCACCTAAAAGTTATATGGAATTATCAGAATCAGTAGTGGATTATTGTCAAGGAAATCCATTGGCCCTTGTAATGTTGGGTTCTTTTCTTCAAGGTAGAGGAAAAGAGGAGTGGGAAAGTTTTTTGGAAAAAACAAAAGAAGCACCACCCAAGTACATTATTGATGTTCTGAAATTGAGTTTTGATAGACTTGATGAGCGCCAAAAGAATATGTTTCTTGACATAGCATTTTTCATCAAGGAAAGAGTTGAAGTTTCTTTGACCCTAATAAGACAATTATATGGCTCTTCTGTAGATATTGACATAAATGTTCTTAAAGAGAGAGCCCTCACTTCATTGGATCATAACGGCTATATTGAGATGCATGATCTTGTGAGGGACATGGGTGTTGAAATTGCTAGAGAACAGTCATTCTCCAATCCTAAAGGCCCTGTTCGACTGCAAAGTTATAAGGACATTTATGATTTTTTCATTAGTAACAAGGTACTAATTTAATCTATCTATTCTTTTTTTGTAATCTCATTTTCCATGATATTTTGGTAAATTTTTATGTTATAATAGTTGTTTTTTTTTCCCCCTTGACGTGCTTACTAGGTGACTAAGTCAATCCAATGCTTGTCATTGGACATGAGCAAGATAAAAAGGATTCCATTGACAGCTAATGACCTTCGAAAGATGCATAATTTAATATTTCTAAAAATTTATTGGTCTGATTGGAGAGAGCCTTCAAAGTTGATTATTGGTAAGGATATGAGTTATCTTCCAGATGAAATAATTCAGGGTTGTTAGTTGGAAGAATATCCTTTACCATCTGTGCCGTTAAGCTTCTATGAGGGGAATCTTGCTGAGCTTCAAATTCCTAATGGTCATATCAGGCAACTTGGGAAAGGCCATCAAGTATGTATCATTTTCTTTATCTAATTCTAAACACCTCTTTGAACTTTTGTTTTAGATATCTCAGCCATCAAACATTGACCAAATGAACGGTTGATATTTGAGTGCACCCCCTCAATTTGGAGAAATTACATGTTAGCTGTGAGAATTTCAGCATATTGCCCTCGTTAGCCCTAAGATTGCGCAACCCCTATACATATACATATCCGGACCCAAGTTTACCAATCACCAATTTTTCCAGCTTTATAGACCTTTTTTTTTTCCTTTCCTTAAATCCAGTGCTCTTCTGAATGCATTGACTTATTTCCTTTAAAGTCTCCTGTTTTTAATTGTCATGAGTGAAATTCATGGTTAAATTGTGTAATTATCTAACGTAACATATTGCTTATTTTTTCAGCATTTTCCAAATTTAAAGAAGATCGACATAAGCTGCTCAAAATATCTCACGGTACTCAAAGATCTGTCTAAGACCCCGAATCTTGAATGCTTAAAAGCTGATGGCTGTGTAAGTTTGGATCAAATCCATTCTTCAAACTGTCCTAGTCAAGCTTACCGATTTATGTCTTGAGATATGATGGGCCAGAGCGAATAAACATTGGTGGTACTGTTAAAGGGAGAAAGAAGTTGATCAGGGTTAGTGAATGTGCGTGATTATTTGGATCTTCACAAGTTGTCATTCAATAAAGTGACACAATGAAGATGTTTGTGTCAGGAGGGATCATCTCTGGCGTTTGATTTGAACGAGTGTCAGAAAGTGGCGTGGTGGTACCATTAAGAAGAGAAGTGGGTAATGATAATGAGGAGAGGATGAGATTGGAAGTTGAAGACGACGAGTTAATGGCACAAGCGGAGTGTTGTACAGGTAACACTAATGCTAGTGTATTAGCACTTGTTCCATTATTGGAAACGCAAGAGGTTACATTATTCTACAAGTTTCAATTTTGAAAAGCAAAAAGATTCAACCTCTCGTAGATCTAAAACTGCGTTTGGACATTACAGAGTCCCATATGAGTAATTATTGTGGTTGCTTCTCTTACTCTGCTTCTCATAGATCAACCTCAAACCTCCCAGGCTCCCCTGCTTTATTGATGACCCTCTCTCTCGCCCTTATACTCCGATTGTAGCAATGAAAGTACTCTTCTAGTCTTGAATGTTGAGACTTAATTAATTAATTTGAGTAGATTAAGGATATTAGTTAAATTAGTTAATATGATATGTTTTTTCTAAAATACCTTAAGTATCATTCTTAATTTTTTTTTCCCTTTGCGCTCACCATATTGGTTAACAAGGGTCCTAATTTTAAGTTTTTTTAAATATAACTTTTTAGGTATAATCAATGTATCTTTTTTTAAAATTGTTTAATAAAAGTCTAAATTACATGTTGTAATTTTAATATTTAAAGAAACGTTGTCCGTTGCATTTAATTGAAAGTAGGAATAAAGCAAAATAATTTTTACATATCACATATTTTTTACTGGTTTTTTAGTCTATATGTTTTTTTTTTTAAAATTAAGACTAGGGGACGGAGAGAATATCAAATATAAAACACTGCTAGTTGCTTTTTCACATTTATTTCAATAAATAAGAGGTGAAAATGAAACAAATGAATCAAAATTAGTGTACAAAGAATTTTCATTAAGTGCTATATGCATACGCATGTGTGAGCATAACTTACCGTTATTTGAAGCACAATGGGAAAATAAAAAACAAATAATTTTTTGCTTTTATGATTATATTCTAAATATCTGCGCATGCATGTAGGTATACGCATCAATGTCTCTGTGTATATATGATTGTTGAGAAATTCATATATTACGGGAAAAACATGAATTGTAAGAAATTTTGAATAAAATGGATATAGCGGTGTTAATTTGGATAAAAGTTGATATATTTAATTGTTCTATGGTATTTATGGTCTTTTTTCAGGTAATGATATTTGTGTTTCCCTTGATTTGATATTATTACCAGGGGATTGAGGCAATTCGATGCATGTCATTGGATGCAAGCAAGATAAAAAGCATCGCATTGAGGACAAGTCATTTTCAAAGGATGTATGATTTAATATTCCTTGATGTTTACAAGTCTGATCAAAGAAAGCCTTCAAAGTTGAATATTTGTGAAGAGTTGGTTTATCTTTCAGAAGAATTAAGGTTTCTTTATTGGGAAGAATATCCATTGCCATCTGTGCCATTACAATTTTGTGCTGAGAATCTCATTGAACTTGATTTGAGACGGAGTAATATCCAACAGCTTTGTGATGGCAATCAGGTACATACGCATTGTTTTTTCAAATGTATGTCATAATGTTTTTGTTGGTGTATGTGATTGTAAGACGTGGCATCAAACATTTACCAAAATAATTGACAATGCAAACATTTAATTGTTTTTGTGTTGAGAATCTTATTGAACTTAATTTGCCCAAGAGTAATATTCATTAGCTTTGGGATGGAGATCAGGCACATATAGTTTCTGATATGTCATAATTGTTTGTTCTTGTGATTATAAGAAACACTTACTAAAATAATTCACAATGCAAATGTTTGCTCTGTTACTATCTTTAAACTGATAGTTGAGTAGTAATTGTACCATTTGGGGGGGGGTCCAACTATTCTTGTAATGGGCATTGGAAAAATTGTTGAGTAAATTGTACGTACGTGTACTTATGTAATTTATTTAACAATATTGCTTTGTTTTTCTTTTTTTCAGCAATTTCCAAATCTAAGGAAAATAAATCTAATAGGTTCAAAAAATCTCAGGGCACTCCCAGATTTGTCTCAAGCCCCTAATGTTAAATAATGGCATCTTAATTGTTGTATGAATTTAGATCAAATCCATTCTTCAACTGTCCTGGAAAAGGATGTCAATTTATTTATACAAGATTGTGGGCCAATGCAGATAAATAGTGGGGGCACTATGAACGGGAGAAGTTCATCAGGGTTAGTGATTGTGTACAATTATTTGGATGTTCCCAATTTGACATTCAATAAAGTGACAATGAAGGTGTTGGTATGTGGCAAGATGATGTGTGGTGTTGGATTTAAGCATGTGAGAATGCCATTGGGAGAGACGGCAGAATTCATGAGAATGGGAATACAAAGTTTGGCGACTTTACTTCTATTTGTGAGGGTAGTTGAATGGTTAGAGAGTCCAATTGAGTTTGGGCATGATTTCAAGCAACATCATACCTATCATGTTTGTCATGCATACATTGGTCCTTTAAGCTGGAATGACTTCAGGCTTTATGTAAAGGTGAGGGGTGATGGAGAAGAAAGGGGTGTGGAAGATGATGAAGAAAAGGATGAGGATGATACAGAAATTATTAGTGAGAATGAAAGAGAAATAAGTAGTAAAGGTGATCAAGTAGCAGAGACAACATTATTATTAATGGAAGATGAACAAGAAGGGGCCGATGAGGATGATAGTAAGAGGGACGATACATTATTAACAACACTACTTATTCCTAACAGCATCCCTCACTGGTTATTGTTGGTTCGACTGACATTAAAAGAGAGTGATATTATTATTGGGAATAATAATACAGGTTGTAGCATCATCCCTCAAGCTTCAATAATCCTCAAATCACTCAATGAAGATTGCAGAAGGAGGATTCAGCATCTCTTAGCTGTACAACTCTCTTCCCCAACATTCTCCCCGTTACCTCATCATTATTTTGGAGTCCTTTATAACTACTCGAAGAGGACGCCTCACGGTCTTCGTTTTTCTTATTTCAGCAGAGCATACCGGTCAAATGATCATGAATTGGTTGTTTACTTTACGGGGAAACCCTTTTGATATTAATTATCATTTAAATTTCTCAAGCCATATAATTATTATTTGAATCAGTCTCATTTATTTTTTTATTGCATATTAATATTATGTTTTAATGAAATATTAATTTTTTCGTTTTTTTCTATATGTAATTCACGGAGGGCCTCCTCACCACTTAAAAATTGTTAATCTTATCTTGGTTTGACAATAACCACATCTGTTGTGTGTGTTATTCTCCATGTGATGTGAGTATAATAACTAGCTCGACAAACAATTTTCTTACTAAGCAATTTTATTATAGGAAAGTAGAATGATTACTTCTAAATTAACTCAACTTGTAAATGTTCAAATGCTATGATATTTAAATTGTAAAGTACATTAAAATAAAATATATTTCTTATCACCAAAAATACATATATTTGTTTGACCGGCCACTGATCAATGTCGTCAATGATCGAGTCATGATTGATCAATCATTCCAAGCTTATCAACGTCGTTAAAAGGCACTGTGGCCATTTGCACCTTTTTTTTAAAAAAAAAATCTATTTATACTTGGTTTTTTCACCTGAGATGTGATGGGAAATTTCCCTTCACATGATGTGACATCAAAGATATATATTTTTTTAAAATGTGATTCATGGAGTGCTTCCTCACAACTTTGAAAAATACAAATTATTAATCTTAAAGTTGCTTTGTTCTTCTTCTTTTTTTGTTGCTTTTCGCGTGTGTATTTTGTATAACTTATTTATAAATAAGTGGAGAAATAATTTTTCACTATGAAACAATTTTCTTGGGATTATTCATTATTTACCATATATAGAGTATCATATAACTTGTACTAAAAAAAGCATATATAATCTGGTTGCAGAAAATAAATTTTACTAAATTAAACTATAACAGAAAAGAGTACTATAACTCATATTTTATTACAATAAATCGTTAACTTCATGAAAAGTCATTATTTTTTTCACATCAAAAACCACACGTCTTTATTAATTAGCTTTGTCTGGTTGAATGACAATGGAAGAGTGGAAAATTTAATAAGTTTGGTTTTCTTATGAAAATAAAGCGGGGTTGAAAGATTTTAATTAATGTTTCTTCTCTCTTACTTTTATATCTTCTCTCTGTTAACGAAGGCACAGTGATATATATCATTTTGCAACAATGACAAGGTAATAGTTTTTTTTTTTTAAATACTCACACACTGCACATGCATACTCTCACGTGTTTTCATGCTAAAAATTTAATATTGGAAAAAAGTACAAATTACGAAATTTGAACATAAAAAGAAAATTTTTAAAAATGTTACATATGCCGAGGGTTTTATATGCACTAGTTTTTCCTTAGGAAGCAGCAATTATATGAAATATTACCTTTGATCCTTAATATAACACTCAATTAATTAATTTAAGAAAATTAAAGAAATTACTAAATTACTTTAAAATATTTATGTTTATCATTTTTCTTCAAATTAATTTGCCTCACTTACGAATTGATATATAATCTAATGATACATATAAATATTTTAAAGAGATCATGTAATATATACTATAATTAAGTAATTTAGTAAATTTTTTAACTTCTCCAAACTAATGAATTGGATCTTATATTAAGAACCAGAAATAATATAAACTATGCATATAAGCCCATTCGTGTGATTGTCCTCGCTGGCCTGCGTGTGTTTTTGTTTTGTCCAAATTATTATTTGTTGGAAGATAATTTAATTTTATATTAATTATCTTATCACTTTTAACATATTGCTAGTTTTCCCCCCCCCCATAATTTGATCAGTAGGGGCATGAGGCAATTCAATGATTATCATTAGACATGAGCAAGATAGAGATGATTACATTAGCATTTATTTATTTTCTATATTTTTAATTATGGCTTGCCAAACACACCCTAGACGAACCTCTGGAATTGTTTTTTTCTAAAGACGGAAACATCAGCTGCGTTGTAGGGACCCACTTTCCATTTTTAGAAAGTCAGGGGCCTACTCATCGTTTTGGCGCATTCTATTCAATTTGTCTTTTGTCCTCGCTGCCTGCGTGTGTTTTGTTTCGTCCAAATTATTATTTGTTGGAAGATAATTTAATTTTATATTAATTATCTTATCACTTTTAACATATTGCTAGTTTTCCCCCCCCCATAATTTGATCAGTAGGGGCATGAGGCAATTCAATGATTATCATTAGACATGAGCAAGATAGAGATGATTACATTAGCAATTATTAATTTTCAGAAGATTTATAATTTAAAATTAGCTAGGACTTTT